GTTCAAAGGCACTCAAATCACCTTTCTTCCCCATACTGATGCTCGGTTTGAACTGCAGGAGATTGTCTTGACCATGTCTACATGCCTAAATGCACTGAGCTGCCGCCATGTGATTGGCTGATTAGAAATTAAGTGTTAACAAGCAGTTGGACAGGTGTACCTAATAAAGTGGCCGGTGAGTGTATATTGAACAGATCAAAAATAAATCCAACTATGTCTTTTTTAAAGTATAAGTTTCAAAATAATCTGACTCTTAACTGGCTCTTAAATCTCATTGGAACCACTTTGATGGACAGAAAATGAAGACATGAAGCATTATTACAACAGACAAAAGCCACTGGGAAGGCTTAGTGGTTACATCAAAATTCCAAAACAACTAAAAGAAAACATTTATTTTAGCAGAAACAGCAACATTCTACCTGTAAAAGAGGGAGCCTGGGAGTGAATGGAACCTTTATTGAGCATGGTCATGATCTGACCAACAAAGTCTTTGGGGATGAAATTGGCAAACGGTAAAATCTCTGTGCTGATCAACTGGACCACCTAAAACGAAGAATAACACAATGCTGAAAAAGTGAGAACGTCACAGATCTTTTTCCACAATACTGAAGGGTTGTTGAAATGGATATTTACCTCAACATCAATGGCTTCAGTCTTCTGAAATTCTTGTATCGACAGATTATCTGGGGGAGTGCTGGAAGGAGAGAACAGAGCATAGGCAACAAAAACCTTCTGAAAACTAAAACACCAAGACGTTGGGATCCTGTACCTTTTGGTGAATAGAAAGTCTTCAAAGGCATTGGCCAGCTCTGGCCACATCGTGTCAAACTTCCCTGACGAGGCATGCTGACGTGCGACTGGCAGTCCAATAGACAGAACCTTCAGCAAAGAGGAAACCGCCAGCTTCCAGGTGCTTTCTGACGGACAGGCGTACTTCAAACCCAGGGGTGTTCTTAAAGTCTTCAAGGTGAAAATAAGGGACAGAAATTATAACAATTCTTATGACTGTTTTCATATAAAAGTTTAAAGCGAAAACCTTTCAGCTCAGTTTCTTTTACACATTTCTGTCAAACCAGTTCCAGTACAAAACCAGAGACCAGAGTTTACTTAGCACCAGTTATTTTTCTTTCCACTGATGAAAGCCACAAATAATGGGTGCTATCCAGCGTTAAGTCTTAGAGGGACCAGAGCAAAGACCCACTAACATCAGGAGATGCAGATGGAACAGTAATCAATAAAACTGATTTACATGTTTAAATAATCTACAACAATGTGACTTTTATTTAGAGAAAAAAGAAATGAATACTCGGTGGGTGTGGTGGTGTGTTGTATGCAGAGAAATGCAACACCACACACTTCCAATGGCGATAAGAAATTACCAAGGAGGTTCTATAGAACAGTTGGAGTGCACAAAGACCATGTGACCATGTGATCGGCTGGAGAAGCTAACGGCTAACGCTAAACGGTAAAGAGTCTGGATTTCCCATTACTGTACATGTTGACAACAGAGCAGAAAAAAAGGACTGAC